AAGAGAAATAAAAGCCATCCTAGTTGGAAAGAAGAAGTAAAACTATCACTTTTTGCAGATGACATGATCTTGTATAAAGGAAATATAAAAGAGTCCACTATGAAACTATCAGAGCTAGTAAACAAATTTAGCAAAGTTGCAAGATATAAGATCAGTGTACAAAAATCACGTATTTCTACACACTAGCAATGACCAATCAAAAAAGAAAATTAAGGGGGCCGGCCCTGTGGCATAGCAGTTAAGTTCGCAGGCTCCACTTCGGTGGCCTGGGTTCACAGGTTCGGATCCGAGGCACGGACCGACGCACTGCTTGTCAAGCCATACTGTGGCGGCATCCCATATAAAGTAGAGGAAGATGGGCATGGATGTTAGCCCAGGGCCAGTCTTCCTCAGCAAAAAAAGGAGGATTGGCAATGGATGTTAGCTCACAGCTAATTTCCCTCACACACACAAAATAAGAAAATTAAGGGGAAAATTCCATTTATAATAGCATTGAAAACAATAAAATACTTAGGAATAAAGTTAATCAAGGAGGTGCAAGACTTGTACACTGAAAACTACAAAACATTGTTGAAAGAAATTAAAGAGCTAATAAATGAAAAGATAACCCATGTTGTTGATTGGAAGACTTAATATTGTTAAGATGGCAATACTCCTTAAATTGACGTACAGACTCAATGCAATCACTATCAAAATTACAACAGCAATTTTTTTTCAGAAATGGCCAAGCTGATCCAAAATTCATCTGGAATTGCAAGAGGGCTAGAATAGCTAAAACAATCTTGAAAAAGAAAAACGAAGTCGAAGGACTCACACTTCCCGATTTCAAAACTTACTATACAGCTAGTAATCAAAACAGTGCATTACTAGCATAAGGATAGACATATAGATCAATGGACTAGAATCGAGAGTCCAAAATAAACCCATAAATTTCTGGCAAATTGATTTTTGACAAGGGAAAGACCATTGAATGGGGAAACAATCATCTTTCAACAAATGATACTGGAACAACTGAATCACCATATACTAAAGAATGAACTTGGAACCTTAACTCAAACTATATACAAAAATTAAATTGAAAGGAATCAAAGACCTAAATATTGAGAGCTAAAATTATAAAACTCCTAGAAGAAAACATAGGACTAAATCTTCATCGACTTGGATTTCTCCTTTGGAATGGATTCTTAGATATGACACCAAAAGCATGAGCAACAAAAGAAAAGAATAGATAAATTAGACTTCATCAAAATGTAAACATTTTGTGCACTGAAAGACTATCAAGAAAGTGAAAGACAATCCACAGAATGGCAGGCAATATTTGCAAATAATATATCTGATAAGGGTCTAGTATCCAGAATATATAAAATACCCATGCAACTCAACAATGAAAAGACAAACAATCCTATTAAAAAATGGGCAAAGTGTCTTCCGAAGTGAGGGTGCCATTTTCCATTCCCGTCAACAATGAATGAATGAAAGTTCCTGTTATTCCACCTCCTTCCAGCATTTGGTATTATTAGTGTTCTGGATTTCAGCCATTCTAAAACGTGCAATGGTATCTCATTGTTTAAACTTGCATTTCCCTGATGACATAGGATGTGGAGCATCTTTTCATACGCTTTTTTGCCATCTGTCTGTCTTCCTTGATGAGGTGTCTAAGTCTTTGGCCCATTTTTAAATTGGGTTGTGTTTTCTTGTTGTTGAGTTTTAAGATTTCATTACTGTATATTTTGGATAATAGTCCTCTATCAGATATGTCTTTTGAAAATATTTTCTCCCAGTCTGTCTCTCGGTGTCTCACCTGCCTCTGGCAGGTCATCTAATCAACGTGTCTTTTCAAAATAAACATTGAAAAGAGCTTCTCTTTCCCTTTCTCTGGGCTCATGTGCTCGAAGGCCCATGTGAACTGGGAGTTGCCACGATCTCATTGAAGCCACGAAGAGCTGGGGGCTGGGGTGAGACACAATCCAGGTGGTGTTGCTCAAGTACTGGGGTCCAATTGGGTTGAAAGCCAGCTGATCCCTTAGGAAGTCTAGCTATGTGAGTCAACAAATGCCCCATTTTTGCTTTAAAACAAAGTTGATAGAGAATGAAAGTAAAAGGGCTCTTTAAAGAAGTCCTGCTTTAGGGGGTCAGGTCTAGTGACTTGCCTCAACTCACCAATCCAGAGGGTCCTCCCTTCCCTCTTTACTGCTCCCAGAACCCAGTCACACATCTGCCTTATTATCTTATGGCTCATAGAGGGTTGGCTGCAACCACACTGGGAACCTGGCAGTATGATGAAGCAGGAAGGCAAAGCTGGGCCCTAGCATCAAGTCTACTCCCAGAAAGTCACCCCACTGTCTTTCTATATGAAAGATAGCCCTTTCATATCTTTCTCCTTGTTTATATAATCATATGGAAACATGAATTTTTCACCTTTGTTTTACAATATTGGGATTAAATTTTTTTGTTTGTTTTTTTTTTTGGTGAGGAAGATCAGCCCTGAGCTAACATCCGTGCCAATCCTCCTCCTTTTGCTGAGGAAGACTCGCTCTGAGCTAACATCTATTGCCAATCCTCCTCCTCTTTTTTCTCCCCAAAGCCCCAGTAGATGGTTGTATGTCATAGTTGCATATCTTGCTAGTTGCTGTATGTGGGGCGTGGCCTCAGCATGGCCAGAGAAGTGGTGCATCGGTGCGTGCCCAGGATCCAAACCCCGGGCCGCCAGTAGCGGAGCGTGGTCACTTAACCGCTAAGCCACGGGGCGGCCCTGGGATTAAATTTTCACCTCTGCCTCTCGCTCTTCACATGTGATTGAACGTAAGGTAAATGGCTCCAAGTCATTGCTATAGACCTGACTCAGTTTTTCTAACGGGTGTAAAACATCCCATGGTGAGAGTGAGCCACAACTGGCGCAGCTGTCCCCGATGTCCGAGCATGCGCCTTGTGTCCAGCGCTGGGCCACTGCACTGGGGGCAGCATGGCCCCCGGACTCACCCTGTCCCTCTCCCACTGTGCTCCGCTCCATGCATTCTCTCCCTGGGAGTAATGGCTTCGTTTCGTTTTGTTTGTTTTTTGTCAACAGATATTGATATTACTTTCCAAAACAGCTATAACAATTATCAGAGTACCATTTTCCCCAGGAAACCATGACTCTAATTTTGCAGCACTCAGGCTGATGGGGCCTGATAAAAACAGATAACACTAAAATGGCTAGTTCATTAGGATGTCACAGACAGCCCTAAAAAGCACCCAGAAAGGTGTATAAACAAACACATAGGGAGGTTGTCTTGGGAATAAGCACATTCCTGACCTTTCATAGTTGTAGGCAAGAGGATTGTGTTCATTTCCTTCCCACAGGCAGCTGACTCAACTTGTTTGAGCTTTAAAGCTTGACTCTAAACCCTAGTTTTAATAATGTTATCACAACTGTTGTGTATTTGAAAGGGAACCTTCCTCTTCTACCACATTGTATATTATTAAGGAATTCCAGAGCCAGCCCTGATGGCCTAGTGGTTCAAGTTCGGCGCTCTCTGCTTTGGCAGCCTGGGTTCACTTCCCGGGCGCGGAACCACACCACTCCTCTGTCAGTAGCCATGCTGTGGCAGCGGCTGACATAGAAGAACTAGAAGGACTTACAACTAGAAAATACAACTATGTGCTGGGGCTTTCTGGAGGAAAAAAAAAAAAAGATAGGAAGATTGGCAACAGATGTTAGCTCAGGGCCACTCTTTCCTACGCAAAAAAAAAACAAAAACAAATTCCAAATTAAACAAAGGAAGCCTAAGGAGAAAGGGGCAGAGGGAAAAGATTAAAGAAGACAAGGGTGAGAGTAGACAGAATTTGGAATGTTGTCAGTGCCAGGAGCTTTCAATTAGCAAATTTTTAAAAAAATGAACATATTTGCCAGCCCTTTTGATATTTTCTGCCTATATTGATTTACGTAAATTGATAGCAATTTGGAGTTGACAGATTTTCTTCCAAGTATCAAACTCTTTCTTCATCAACCTATTTGGCAGTTCTTCATTTATCCCTGACATGTAGAGGTAAAAAAAAAAATCATGCTAGGCTTAGGAAACAGCCTAGAAACTTCCTTCAGTAAGCTGTGGGAGCCTTTGAACCAGGTCTGTCTCGGTCTTCCTTCCACTGTGGCTAGTCGTGTTCTACAGAAGGACGAATGCCTGGTAACCCCTCCAACTGAACACATCTAAAGACAAAGCAGCAGCCTTCCCCAGCTTCGATGGCCTGTTTCTGTCACTTCTCCTAGGCCCCCAAATTATCTTTCCTTGTCCTTATGTATGGAAGACATCATTGTGTTCCCAGGACTCTCCCTCGGTGAGATCTGATTCCCATCTTCACCTTCCATTTCCTCTGCCTCCAACGCCAGTTTCAAGTCTGCAAATGACTGTTCTCTGCCTCTACTGCCCACCCCTCCCTCTGTTCCCAATAAATCTCAAACACCACGAGGTTCATTAACCTGAGAGAGACATTAAGATGAACACGTTGTGTGGCAAGGTCGCTGTAATTCTCCCTCAGGGTAGGAATAATGGCAGAGAGGGACTTCCATAAGTAAGGACAAAGGGAAGTCATTGAGTAAGGCAGGAAATTACTCCTAGAAACACGTCCGTTTCTAGGTACTGGTGACGCCCTGGTACTTAGTACTCCTACAAATGCCCACAGTGATTGGCATCAGGGCTTTATAAGGGGCCATTTGGCCTTTTTTAAGGAACAGTGTGGAAGAGGCATCCAGAATACTTGGAGACCTCTAGGCTCGATTCATGATCCGAAAGGCTGTGCGGGCGCCCTCCACGCGCCGCACTGGACACCAGTCCTCCCCGGCCGGCCGCGAGCGCTCGGTGCAGCAGGGGGCGGCGGGGACGCGCGCGGAACAGCCGCCGCGCGGGGCGGGGGGCGGGACTTGGTCTCCTGGCAACGGCGCCGGCGATTGGCCAGCCCCGTCGGCGGCGGAGGCCGAGCCGGGCGCCTGGCGCACGCTCGTCACGGCGTCTGCGGCTGCGCGGGAGATTTGAATCGGCGGCGGCGACTCCCTCGCGGCGCAGCGGGAGCTGCTGCTGGCCGGCGTCCTCTCGCCATGGGCGATAACCTGGAAAATGCCGTTCGGTAAGGGT